CAACAATTTCAAGCCAAAAATTGGATTTTGTTAGAATTGGAATTGGTGCACCCCTAGTCTATAGAGATATTTTTAATTCTATTAAACGGACCAGAATTGATTCTGCACATCCGTAACCCGGAATCATCGTCATGGATAGGAATATAGACTATGGTAAGGAATAATTCTATATTATTAGCATGAATCTTTTTCTCAACACAGATTAATGTCGCAGAGTTTGCGTTAAATTCATCGTAGACTTTCATATTTCATGCAAAAAAAAAATGATAGCTATGAAAAATATTTTGTTTATCTAATTTCTGTTTATCTGATCTTTTGGAAAAAATAAAATTAATATTCTTTAGCCAGTATCAGCCATTTTTCATTGTACTCTTCATTGGTGTGACAAGCATCTTCCCATTGTTCAATCGTAGCCTGATTCAATCGATTGCTATTACTATTGATTAGTTGTCGACTCGATGAATCATTACCATTGAGAGAAAATCCATGTTTGCCTCGTTTACAACCACCTGTATGTCCCATTGTGAATGTTTCATCACAACATATCCATTTAAATTATGTTGTTTGATGTTCGAACCCTTCACATCGATCAGGATGTTTGATAATTTTAAGTTCCAGTTTTCTATAGAGTGTAGCTACTTCAGATGGTGTATATATTGTCAAATCAGCTACTTCATTATCATATACAAAACCATCATGATGTACACAACTGCCTATAAATAATACAATGAATCTTATTTCGACAAGTTTTAGATATCAACATGCTCATTTTGTTTTCATTTTCAATGCAGAAATCTTTACATTTGTCACATTTTAGAAGATCTTCGGCCAGGTGTCGTTCCATTTCTAATTCTTCTTCTTCTTGACGTGTACGTGGAAATTGTGTATCTATACAGAACTGACGTAAAAGAAATGGTTCACGAATTACTGCTATTGCCCATCGTTCGATATCATCAGTTTCTTCACTGTAAAAAAAAGGGGTAGAATAATAAACCCTCCAAAAGGATTTATAAGCCTCATAAACCCTACATCAAATTTTCATATACCCTTTTTAATTACATTTCATTTTCATAAACCCTTTTGTAGGATTTATTATCTTGCCCTTTTTTTTGCAGTGTTTTTTTTGAATATCTTCCATCACTCGATCACGAAATCGAGCAAGTACATATGTATAAATGCGGGTGCGGGTGTGGGTGGGTGTGGGTGTGTGTATGGGTGTGGGATGTGGGTGTGGGTGTGGGTGTGGATGTGGGTGTGGGTGTGTGTATGGGTGTGGGATGTGGGTGTGGGGTGTGGGTGTGGGTGTGGGTGGGGTGTGGGTGTGGGTGGGGTGTGGGTGTGGGTGTGGGTGGGTGTGGGTGTGGGGTATGGGTTAGAAGATCCAACACCCACACCTACCCACACCCTTCAGATACACTTTCATCCTTTTGTTACTTGTGTGTCTCCAATATTCAAAAAACACTCATAATTCTTATTGTTTTCTTCTATATTAATTAGAACTATGGCAAAAAAAATAATGAAAGTTTGAAATGAGAATACGAGGCATTGTCCCATTTCATTAGAAGTATTACAGAAGCAGCATTTAGCACAAAAAGAAATAACATTATGATGTATAGTGATAACAAGAGTAGCAATACGATTATTTTAGTAAATATAGGTTTAATGTTAGGGATATTAACTTGACAATAATATTAATGCAGTAACTTCTATGATTGTTGTTTTCGTTGATTAGTAGTGAGTATATTAAAGATGTAAAATAATCATCATTACCATTGTCTGATTAGATGTCATTTTAATTTTTATCTGTTTCTATTTAAATGATGACAATTTTGTAAAATAATACTTGAAAATATTAGATCGGATCATACCTATTAAATTTAGATTACGTAGAAACAAAGTCGTTTGAGATATTATTTTACAATTAGCAATAGAGCTTTGTTAAACATCATAACAAACGAATGAAATCCATTGAAAGTAATATTATCGAAAATGAATTCATCAATCTTTTGTATAGTATCGTATATTCATCCTTATGCATACGAAACAGTCATGATATTTGGTATGATTTTCTTTTGACATGTAAATGTTAATCGTATCCCTTGATAATGAGATAAAAAGATTAGTAAATAATTTGGGAAAAAACAAAATGAGGTTTTTTATATTCTTCAGCTACTGATTTCAAATTATATGCTGTACTATTTACATCAGTTGAATCAGGAAACTTAATGTCTGTATGTGTCCCATTTAGAGGATTGAATGATATTCTCAGATTATTAAAACTCCAGACTAGATTCAAAAATGTTATATATACAGCCAAACCAAAAACTATTCAGACATCCTTCTAATTTTGTTTTATATTTATCGATTTGTAAATCAGATATAAGAGATAAATTTTTTCTTTTTTCACCAGTAAAAATTTCTTGATCTATATTATTTTCGATATCAAAATTATATCATGTGTATATCACTGGAACGATTAGGATGTGGGGCGTGGGTGTCGGTGTAGGTGTAGGTATGGGTGTGGGGTGTGGGGTGTGGGTGTGAGTGTGGGCGTAGATATGGGTGGGTGTGGGTGTGGGTATACTCAGCGAAAAAAGCCATCCCTATGTCCACACCCACACCCACACCCACACCCTCTATTTTTTTCCTCGCTTTTTTTATTGGTCCATTTTATTCTTTGCTTTTTAAATATTAGCAAGTAATCAAAAGTATTTATGTTGAAAACCTAAACTATTTGTCCTACATAATATCTCAAGGTGTTGATCGCTTATTAAATAAAATAACTCCACTACGGCTCAACGTTATTCGAAAGCTTTTTCCTAATTAAATTAGATTTTGATTCATCAAGACCAAGCTCACCAACCATTTCGAAAAATGTAAAACTTTCAGCTACCATGTAAAATATTAGACGTTTGTCGATTGCATCAGCAATACACGTCAGTTTTTTCTCTATTTATTTGAATATTTATCGTGAACATGAACTTTAAATAATGCAAATTTTTTATTGTTGCTTTTTAATGATTCATTTAACATATACCGAAAGGGTTGAATTATTGATGCATTGCTTCACAGCAAGTTATATGTTACTATTCGAAAGTTCTGATCATCTTGAAAACAAATTTGCTAGTTTATTTATGTAATTCATTATGACATATCCATTGACTATATCGCTTCTTTATTGTAAAAATTTATCAAAAACAATGTTTATAAAGCAAATCTGCAACACTCAAATGATCTTAGGTACACAATACACATATAGAAATTCAAATAGACATCGGAAAAACTAATGATTATATTTTAGCTAAAAGTCTTTATGAAGCAGAAATTACTTCAAATAGAAAAGGAATTAGCTTACACTTGGCTAAAAATGAAGGTATTTGTTATTATTAAGAGATCTTTATTTTTGGAACGGCATATATAGCAAAACCTTATTATCGCTAAACATATAGTGCTTCCATTGGCAAATACTTAAATATCAATGTAATTGTTGTCATATTTACAAATAGCAATAAATATCTACCGATTGAGCTCACATTTAATTGAATAATAAGTATATTTTATCATGATGTTGAAAGATAGTTGTCTTATTCAGAAATTCAGCTAAACTTGAACTCTGTCTCTAACATGATAAAACACTTTCTCTCTAAATTCTCCGTTCTACAATAAAATAAACATAAAAGTTAACTGGATGATAGAGACCATTTGAAAGGGAATATAACAATAAAGTTTTCTTGAACAAACTTACTGTCAACATACCTTACCAAATATTAGCTATATATGTCTATGCATCATTGACGTCAATGATAATTGCACACCATGGTTTTTTGTTTCAATATTTATTCAAACATGCTTGCTAGCTGCTTTCCAATACTAGTAGTTTGTAAATGAATTTTTTCTTTGTCATTAATAAAACAAGTAAAGCTCGTCACTTTGAGGCGTTTGGTCCTAGGATGTGGGTGTGTTCTTCTCAATCCACACCCCACACCCCACACCCTCAATGATACTGACATGCCAAGGCAGGCTCTAATCGATACAGACATAATTTAATTCATCAGAAAACAATATTTTATTTAATTGTATATCGAGCTGCACTAGCTGTGTAATAGAATCATATCAAGTGAAACTATTCTAGTACGCTTTATTATATTACAGGTTATTAATTAAAATAAATTCAAGTATTGATTTATTAGCATCAAGATAAATTCAATGCATGGGAGTCGATAAGATTTGTGATAGAAAAAAGAAACTCTCGAAAGATTGATAAACCATGTCTAGAAGCTGAAGGCCACTCAAAACTTATAGAAGAAAAATATTTATTGAACTGCTTATAATGTGGAAAACATAGGACAGCAGTCTTTACTAAAGTCTTTGTATCTTTTTGGACGGAAACAGGTATCAATCTGGATCTCATACGGATTGATAGAGAAGAAACTAGACTAATTTTCATTATATTATAGTTGATAGAACATTTTTTTTACGACAAATTAAGTTCATTTTCAAAGCTCATAGTGCATCCAAGAACACAAGGGACTGACATTTTCATTGTGCTTGTAAAACGAGCGATCAAAATCGGTTCTAGATATAATTAAAAGCCCGAATTTTTTCTTTCTTGCTGTTTCAAAGTTATTCAAAACATATTCACGGTAATTTTACTCTGAGATGAACAATATTTGACTTGGGATCAATCTGTATATATTAAATCCATGCCTGGCACTCTGTAATGATATTTGATGACCGGCATGATCAATCACGAAATCTTTCATTTCTATCTATCACTGTTTTGATAATCGATTCAACGTGATGCGAATCCCTTCATGTTTAGTCAATAGTAGAGGTTTCGTTCTGTTATGTTATAAGAGAGAGAAATCGCAGATACAATATCATGATAAGTTCGAGATAAGTCTGGGTCTGTGTCTGGATGTGATTGAAGAGTAGAGCCACGTCCATACTCGAATCCTTGTCATATTTCCACGAGAGCAGTAGCAATTTGTAGATAATGTAAAGAATTCGTTTTTGATTTTCTGAATTCTACAATTTTCAATGGTCCACAGTATTGATCTTGGCCAGGTAGAAGAATGTTATGGATTCGAAAAAATGAATCGGACTACAACGTGACTTTTTGAATTCTTTTTTTTATTAGTTAAACAGCATTTTAGTTCATTATAGTCATAATCAAATACTAAGCGTTTTCACAGCTCATATAAGCCGCTAAAAGAGAAAAAGGTTTATCGCACATGCATAATGTGCACTCATAATTGAGTAACTTTCACTTGACACGAAAGAAATTTTATTGAACTGAGCAATGAGAGTAAGATAAACGTAGTTAAAATGAATGGTCCAGTGTGTATTAACTACCACAGGTATCGAGCATCTATTGATCTCTCAGTTTCCTGATTTTTGTGTTTTTAAATATTTGGATGAAAGCATCGAAATTTCGCAGTGCAGCGATTGTCGACGCAGATCAGAACGTAAGTATGGATGTGTAGAATGAAGAAACGACCATGCTCTCGAATAACCATTATGTGGCGATATAAACAGAACGTTTCAACTCGTGGATAAAGATCAACATCCACAACAGGATGATATTCTTTCTCATACTAACAACAATGAAGCACTGCTTTGGGGGTAGAACGCGTAGAAGTTGAATTCATGACTTTGTATGTTTTTATCTTGGTTTTATCAAATGTTAACGTCGGATATGTGCACTAACGGCATACTCATTCGTCAAACAGCCTCTCCAACATCTCTGTCATAAAAGTGAGTGCGATCTGTTGTATCACTTTCGAAGGTAAGTAACGAGTTTCACATGAAGACAGATCATATCGTTTCTGGGATGGCACCGAGGATTCAATATGAATGTCTTGCCGTCTTCGGGTATTCAGCAGAGTGGGGACTGTAACTTGAACATGATTTGCATGAGCTTTTCCGTACAATGAAAAGAAGAGCTTTTTTGAAAACATCGGTGAAGAAGTTTCATTGAGTAACCAACAGCAGAAAAGGTTTTTATGGCTGATTTTTTGAGTCATACGATAACTCTATCTTGGTCTTTGAAGAAATAAAAGATGACCAAGCGACTACGAATCCCAATTCGAATACTTTGCACATTGCACGATTCAAGTTCTAATGAATATGCTTACAGGTCCCGTAATAGGTGTTTTCGTTGATCGAAATGTGTTGCGAGCACAGTGACTTTCAGTTTCTTCTCATTCCATGATAAATCATAAGCACAAGTTTCGTTTTGGCAAAACTCGAGAAATCTATCTTGACAGAATAACATCCGTACCCATCCTCTCAGATCGATCATATCAATAAGTCATTTTGTCAGATGTAATGCCTCTTTGACTTTTCTCAGTTGAAAATCAATCAACTGCACAATGTAAAAGTAGACAATGACAGTTAAACCTGTTATTGATTCATTGGTCTCCAAGAAAAAATAAATAAATAAATATTTTTCTGCCCATTGACATGCTACGTGTTTCAAGAGAGTGATGCATGTACGAAATCGATGACAAAAAGCAGATATCAATTTGACAGTGAATAATCATGACTTTTGCTCTTTTAATGACAAGTCGGTTTCTCTGAGGATAACTACTTCAGCAATCCTTAATGATCTTGTGTGTTACAGATGAAGCCGCAGAATAAACATTTTTTATTCTAGGAAAGAAGTAGCTTCTGCCAAGATTGAACAACATTCTGAATACGAGACCTTTCCCATGAATAACTAAGTGTATTGCTGTTGATATAATTATATAGACCACTTACTGAGCATTCCTTTAAATGAAAACTACGCTAGTAATTGAAATTCAAAATGAAAACTCATTATTTTCTGGGTCCATACCAGTTGCTCTCCATGGATACATGTTCATCAATAACAAGTGTTCGCCAGACAGATACAATACAGCGGTGTCAGCTTTATTTAAAGTCCAAAATAATTTTTGAATAGCTACCGATTAATACAAGCTAATTAAAAAGTGTCTATATACGATAGGTCAGTATAGGATTCAAAAAAATATGCGAAATTGAAAAATCATTCTAGAAATCACGTATTATCAGTCTCACTGAATGTTTATCGTCGAAAAAAAAAGTAGCAGTATAATGAGGTGGTGAGGATGAAGCTTCGATTTTCTCTCAATCCATGCCTGCATACACACTCCAGAGCCATTCTTAGAAACTATCACATCCGCACCCACATTCACACCCAATGCACAAACTCGCATCCATCCATACCGACTTATATACTCTTCTTGTCATCAATTAGAGTTCTATTAAATATTGTTGGGAGCAAGTGGCCCTGGCAGCGAGTGTCGGGGAGCCATGTGACTGGGAACCAGCTGGCCTGTTATCCTATTTTCTCAAATTGAAGATATCTATACCTAAACTGTACCTCAGATAGGATTAATTATATGCTTTAAAAGTTGACTTAAATCTCCTAAATAGGCACTGTATCACCCACTCTCTACTCACTATTTAATCATCATGTAAATACTCCATTGTTCCTATTCGATATTCTACTAAGATTTAATACATTTCAAAGCATGCGCTCTTGCTGAAAAAATTGTTTATGTGAGAGGTATGATAGTGCAATCTTGAATAATGATTTCTAGCTAGAAAGCGGTTCAAACCATTAAAAACTTTGATTGCTAAGGAATTAGCAAGCTTTTGACCAATACCTGTTTAGACTGACACAGATCTTTGATACATGATTAAAACACTCGTTCATCTGTGCACGTAACTCAAAAAGAAATCATAGCGAACAATTGACTAATTTTTACACTTTAATATTTGTATTTCTGACTAAAAACAAGTGCCCTCTGGTACATTCATCATAATCACAACAATGACGGAAGCAAACCTACTTCAGTTGCCTGTTGAATTGTTTCATCGAATTTTTGATCA